GGAGCCAGAGGGTATTATGCTCAGTGAAATGTCAGTCAGAGAACGACAAACACCAAATGTTTTCCCTCATTTGTGGAGTATAACAACAAAGTAAAACTGAAGGAACAAAACAGCAACAGACTCACAGACTCCAAGAAGGGACTAGCAGTTACCAAAGGGGAGGGGTGGGTGATGGCGGGTGGGGAGGGAGGGAGAAGGGGATTGAGGGGTATTATGATTGGCACACATGGTGTGGGGGGGATCATGGGGAAGACAGTGTAGCACAGAGAAAGCAAATAGTGACTCTGTGGCATCTTACTACACTGATGGACAGTGACTGCAATGGGGTATGGGGAGGACACAATAATATGGGTAACTGTAGTAGCCGTATTATTTTTTCATGTGAAACCTTCATAAGAGTGTATACCAATAATACCTTAATTTAAAAAAAAACCTGAATGAGCCTACAGAACTATAAGTGCATATATACATATGGGACTATTTGTTTAAAGTCACTATATTTGTGGTAATTTACTGCATAGCATAGCAATAAAAACTAATATAGATAGAAAAACACATACCATGCAAATACTAATCAAAAGGAAGCTGGAGTATCTAAATTACTATCAGACACTTTGGAATAAGGAGCATTAACAGCAATAAAGACAGACATTCTGTAATAATAAAGGAGTCAATTCATCAAGAAGATACAACAATCTTAATGTCTTCACATAATAGATTCAAAACACATGAAGGAAAAATATGAGAACTGAAAGGAATAATAAACAAATTCACAATTATAACTGGAATTTCAACATTCCTCTGTTATTGACAGACAAGGACAGAGACAATCGGTCCAAAGAAGGAGAACAGTATCGACCAACTTGACCTAGTTGACATTCATAGAACATGTCACCCACAAATGCAGAACACACGCATGCTCAAATAAATGCGCATGGAACATTTAACAAGATACCCACATTTCAGGCCATGAAACAAATTTCAAGAAATTTAAAAGAAATAAAGTTATACAACATAAGTTCTGTGGTAATGACAGAATCAGCAACAGAAAAATACCTGGTAAATCTGGAAGCATCTGCAAATTAGACATACTTCAAATAAACCATGCGTCAAAGAGGAATTCACAAGGGAAATTAGAAAATATTTTGAATTGAATAAAAAAACATTAACACATCCAAATTTGCATCATGAAGCTAAAGCAGTGCTTAGAGGGAAAGTTATATAGCATTAAATGCTTACACTATTAAGGGTCTCAAGTCAGTGAGCTCAGCTTCCACCTTAAACTGGAAAAAGCAAATTAAGCTCAACACAAGCAGAAAAAAGAAAATAATGAGGAACAGAAAAACAGAGAAAAATGATGAGATCAAAAACTGGTTCTCTGAAAACATAAATAAAATCAATAAACTTCTAGCCATATTGATCAAGAAACCCCCCCAACAAGTTACCAATATTCGAAATAAAGGAGGGACTTCACTACAGCTCTTCAGACATTAAAAGAAGTGAACACCACAAACAAGTGAATACTACAATTTTATGTCCATTTATGATAAGACAGTCAATATACCAGGAAGATATTTTCTCAACCTGCCAAAAGACATTTATGACTAACCTATAGCTAACATTATATTTAGTAGTGAAAGACTGAATACTTTCCCCCTAACACTGGGAACAAAGCAACAACGCCTGCTATCACTGCTGCTATTCAACATTATACTACAGGTCTTAGAGCAAGAAGGCAAGTTAAAGAAATAAGGGCACGGAGATTGGAAAAGAGGAAAGAAAGCCACCTCTGCTCACAAATGGGACAACTGTCTACAAAGAAAATCCCGAAGAGTCTATAAGAATGCTTTTAGAACGAAATGAGTTTAGCAAGGTCATGGTATATAAAGTCAATACACAAAAACAAATTATATCTCTACGTTCAACCAACACCGGGAAATGAAAATTTTTTAAAGTACCATCTATAATAGTACCAAAATATGTGAAACACCTAGACATAAATCTAGCAAAATATATCCAACGTATGGTGAAAACTGTAAAACACTGATTGTAGCAGGCAGACTCCTAGGACAGCCCTTCAGTGATCTCTGCCTCCTAGTATCATGCCCTACCTCGTGTGATTCCCCACCTTGAGTGTGGCTGGACCTAATGACTTGATTCTAACCAACAGAATATGGCAAAGATGATGGAACGTCATTTCTGTGATTAGGCTGCAAACCACCGCAACTTCCATCATCCTAGTAGACTCCACTGTCCTCTCAGCTTGCACGCTTTGAGGAAGCAAGCTGCCATGTGGGAGAGGCCCTCGTGACAAGGAATAGAAGATAACCTCTGGGCAACAGCCAGCAAGGGACTAAGGCCTGCAGGTGAGAGCCTGTGCAACCCTGACACAGACTGAAGCATAGGGCCCAGCTGAGCTATGCCTGCATTCCAGCCCCACAGAAATGATGAGATTTAAAAAATGCAAGTTGTTTAAAGCCAGTAAGTTTTGAGGTAGTTTGTTACGCAGCAATAGACAATACACTGATTAAAGAAACCAAAGTCCTAAATAAATGGAGATAAAGCATATTTATAGATTAGATGATTCTAAATTGCTAAAAGAACTTTCCCAAATTGTTCTACTGATTTAGCACTCTCCCAATCAAAATCCAAGCAGGACTTTTTTTTTGAGGAATTGAAAAGCTAATTCTAAAACTATAAAATTCCTAGAAAAAAATAGAAAAAGACCTTTGTGGCTTTGGATCGGGCAGAGGTTTTTGTTTTTTTTTAATTAAGGTATCATTGATATACAATCTTATGCTCAGGTTTCACATGAGCAACATTGCGGTTACTACATTCCCCCATTACAGTCACTGTCCATCAGCATAGTGAGACAGGCAGAGTTCTTAAGACACAATACCAAAAGCACAATCCACTAAATAAAACAGACACATTGTACTTCACCAAAATTAAAAACCTCTCTTTGGAAAACTTAAGAAAATGAAAAGACAAACATAAAAAGCTGCAAGACACACATCTGATGAAGGCCTTGAATCCGGAATAAATGAAGAACACTTGAAACTCAGTATTAAGAAAAAACAACCCAATTAAAAAAAAAGTGGGGTAAGATTTGAAGAGACACAGCGCTGAAGAGGTATGAATGGCAAATAAGCACTTAAAGGGACCCTTTGCATCATAGGCCATTAGGGCCATGACAATGACCTACCACTACAAACTTCTTAGTGCAGGTAAAGATCTGGACCATCTTCCTACTCTCCCTTCTCCCCTAGTCCCTGTCAAATAAGCACTGGTCTGTTTTCTGCCCCTGTTGTTTTGTCTTTTCCAGATTATCACGTAAATGGAATCATACAGTATATAGTCCTTGTCTGGCTTGACCTTTCATGTAGCGCTGGAGTCAGCAAACTACAGTCTACTGTCTGCTTTTGTATGGCCTTTGAGCTAAGAATTATTTGTAAATGATTGAGGGAAAAAGCCAAAAGAATATTTCATGACACATGAAAATGATATGAAATTCAAATTTTAGGGTCTACCAATAAAGTTTTATTGGAACACAGTGACACTCATTTCTTACGTGTTTACCTCTTGTCTATGGCTGCTTGCATGCTACAGTGGCAGAGGTGAATAGTTATGACAGAGACTGTATGACCAGCAAAGCCAAAAGTATTTACTATGCAGCCCATTGTAGAAAAAGTCTGTTATAAAATTAAGCATACACTTACCATATGGCCCAGCAACCCTTTTGGGTATTTACCCAAGAAAAACTAAAACCTACATTCACAAAAACCTGTTCACAAACATTTATAATGTTTTCCATATTTTTTTGTATAATTTATTCATAATTGCCTAAAACTGGAAACATCCCAATTCCCTCATCATTGGATAAACAAACTGTGGTACATCCACACAAGGGAATACTCAACAATACAAAAAACAACGGACGCCAACAACATGGATAAATGTCAAATGCACTGTGTTAAATCAGGGGCAATTTCTATAAAGGGTCAGATAGTAAGTATGTTACACTCTGTGGTTGTATAAGCCTCTAGACCCTATATTATCACACTTTATACTTGGAAGCTATAGACTGGCTTTTATTTTATGATACAAATACTGAGTGGATACACAAAAACAGGAGACCCAGAGTGTGAAAGAAATGGATAAGATGCCCCCAATATCCATTCTTCTATTTTTCCTTGATAACAGAATCCTTAGTTTAGCTGGGTACATGGAATAGACTGTGTTATTTCTTCCTTATGGCTAGGCATAGCATTGTGACCAAACTGGGTCAGTGGAAACGAAGTGCAAGTATGGTGTATAATTTCCTGGGAAGGATCCACAAAGAATGGGGTGTGTTGTCTATATTTTTTTTCCTGCCCGAACTATGGACATGACAGAGCATCGGCAGCCATGTAGGCCAATGAGGCAGATGACACATGCTGAGGATGAAGGAGCAGCAAGTCAAGAAGACTCTGACCCCATGACTTTCTGAAACCCCTCTATGCACTCTGGAGTGCCTACCTCTGGACTTGTGTTAGGAGAGAGAGAAACACAGTTCTGCCTTCTTTAAGCCATTATTGTTTGGGAGTTATTTTACTCATAGCCAAAACTAATCCTAACTATATACAGTGAGACTTTATTCCTCATAAAAATAGTGCCAGAATGAGATGACTGAGGAACCCTTGCTACAAGGACTTAGGGAGCTTTCTGGTTCCACCCCATTCCTGGACTGGTTTTTCTTCAACTTCCCCTTTGATACTGTGAGCTTCCATACAATTCCACGAAATTCCCTTTTTGCTTATGTTAGAACAGGTTTCTACGGCTTGCAAACAAGGAGCCTTATCTAATAAAACACATTTGGCACACTTTGCAAAAATTTGAAGAGTGTTTGGGTTGAGTGTCTACTCCATGAATAAAAGAAAACAAATTGCCTAGGATATAATTCCAGACTCAAATCAGCCCATCATTCTATTTTTCACATCATGCTGCTCATCATCTAGTACCTGTAGCCCAGTAGTAAATATCCCAGTCATTACTGGGCTCATTAATCAGGCGATCATAGAGATTCAGCTGTTCTTCTGTCATGTGATGCAGATGCTCTTTAGCAAAGAGGCTAAAAACAAGAAAGAGAGAGAAGGAAGGTGAAAAAGGCTGGCTGTCTCCAGTCAACAAGAAGGGTCACCAAGACTCCCATTCTCTTGCCTTAGCAGAATGCAGTTTTCCAGCGTTCCCCTCTTTCGGCTCTCATAAAGGAGGCGGGCCCTTTTGGTTTCTAAGGACTCATCAGTTCGCTCCTGCCATGGAGGCAAAGGGATTTCAATCATGTCTTTCTGGGAATCTGTCGGGCTCTCCCCTCTGTAGGAGCGGCTGAATGTCGTCATGCTGAACAGAGGAGACACTAGGTGGCGCCTGGACAGAGCAAGTATCTGAAACATACAAACCACATCTTTTTAGCAAGTGACTGATACTGAGGCTGATACTGTCCTTACTTTACGGTTTAGTAAACTGGAGGCTCAGGGAGATTAAATAACTTACCAAGGTCACCAAAGAGTAACTGCAGTTAGGACTAGAAACCTGCCCTAACTACAAACATGTTTCTAACCACTGCCTTTCCAGAAAATCTCCTGCAGAAACATTTTCTCCTTCCTTTGCAATATAGTTTTCTTCTAATATGGTTTGTATTCTCTTCATCTGCCTGTATAAAATTTGAGTATACAGTGATGGCATGGCCCCTAATCCTCCAGAGGCTCCCATAGAGAAGGACAAAAATAATCAGGATGTGATGAGAAGGTGGTGACAATAGCAAGATGGCAGAAGAGGAAGCCCCCACATGCTCCTTCTTCCATGAAGAGACCAACTCCACATGAAGAATCTCCAACTGGGCTGAATGGTGAAGAGTTTTCCTTGTACAAAGCCAGTCCAAAAACACTGGGAGAGGTGGCTCTTTTTTTCAAACATGTGGATCCCAACACAAAGTTGCAAGAATGCAAAAAACAAAACAAAACAATACAGAAAACAGAGAAACATGACTAAATCAAAGGAACAAAATAAATCTCCAGAAACTGACCCTAAAGAAACAAAGGTAAATGAATTACCTGACACAGAATTCAAAATAACTGTTATCAAGATGTTCGATGGGCTCAGGAAAACAATGAGTGAACAAATGAGAATGTCAACAAAGATATATTAAAAAGAACCAAACAGAAATTCTGGAACTGAAAAATTCAACAAGCAAAAATAAAAATTCACTACAGGGGTTAAACATTGGACTTGATCAAGCAGAAGAATCAGTGAACTCAAACACAGGTAACTTTAAATTACCCAATCAGAGGAAGAAAGAGAAAAAAAGAACAAAAAATGATGAAGTACACCCAAGGGATGAACTACTAGGAGGACATCACCAAGCAGACCAATATAAAGGTTAGGGAAGCCCCAGAAAGAGAAGAGAGAAGAGGCAAAAAGCTTATTTGAAGATATAATAGCCAAAAGCTTCCCAAATTTGGGGAATGAAATGGACATCTAAACTGAAGAAGCCCAACGGATCCACAGGACACAAGACAGTAACACAGAAGCATATGAAAGCATAAAACTCCCTGGTTAAGGTAAATATATGACAAATACAGAATACTGTAAAAGTGGTGCATAAGTCACTTTAAATTTTGCTACATAAGTTAAAATACAAAAACATAACAAGTAACTATAAAAATATGCAAATGGAGATACGATATAAAAAGATGTAATTATGACAATACTAAGGAGTAAGAGCAGTTTTTGTATGGGATTGAAGGTAAAGCGTTGTCATCTTAAAACAAATTATGTTTCATGTAAGCCCCGTGGTAACCATGAAGAAAACACCTATAGAAGATACACAGTAGAAAATGAGAAAGGAATCAAAGCATGTCTCTACAAAAAAAAAAAAAGCAATGAAGCACAAAAGATCACAAGAGGAAAAGAAAGACACAAAAGCTACATGACAGACAGAAAAGAACAAATGATGATACTAAGTCCTTCCCTCCTGGTAATTATTTTAAATGCAAATGTTTAAACTCCTCAATCAAAACTCTAGAGTGGCTGAATAGATTAAAAAAAAACAAGATTCAACTATATGCTATTACAAAAGATTCATTGTAGATGTAAGGACGAAAGTGAAAGGATGAAAAAAGATATTCTATGCAAAATGGTAACTAAAAATGGTAACTAAAAGAGAGCAGAGATAGCCCTACTGATATCAGGCAAAATAGACTTGAAGCCAAAAACTGTCAAGAGATAAAGGCATAATATAACCATAAAAGGGCCAATTCACCAGGAAGACATAAATTATAAATATATGAGCAACCAACATCAGAGCACCTAAATATATGAAGTAAACGTTGACAGAACTGAAGTGAGAACTAGATTTCAATACCCCACTTTCAGTAATGGATAGAACATCCAAACAGAAAATCAATAAAAAAACAGAGAACTTGAACAACACTATACACCAAATGGACCAAACTGATATATACAGAATATTCCACCCAACAGCAGCAGAATATACACACTTTTCAAGTACTGGGAACACAACAAGTCTTAACAAAATTTTTTTTTAAGTCTTAACAAATTTAAGAAGATTGAAATCATACAAAGTATCTTCAAACCACAATGGCCCTAAACTAGAAATAGCAGAAAGAAAACTAAAAACACACGAAAATTAAACACACCTTCACTCTTTAACAACCAATGCTTCAAATGAGTCAAAGAAACCAAAAGGGAATTCAGAAAATATCCTGAGACAAGCAAAACTACAACACAAAAAAAATTATGAAGTGCAAAAGCAGTACTAATAAGTTTTCAGTGTGAAACGCCTATATTAAAAAAGATCTTACGATACCATACGAAGCCGTGATGTTACCGAAGACTGGAGAACACAGAGTTAAGAACAGAGAGGGGCGCCCAGGGGCGGTACAGTCGGCTCCACCTGGAAAATAGGTGAAATCTGAATTGGGTCTCGCACGAAGACCGATGATAAAACGACATTACCAGACAAGCACACACGAGTCAGGAAAGAATGGTGCGACCTAAGTTCCCTACGCTGCAAGATCTACCTCTCCTTGGGTCTGCCCTTGCCCGGGGCTGTCAGGCATTGGACGCTCCGGGTGGTCTCCATGACTGCGGAGGAAGACGAGTTAGTCCCCACTATGGCTTGCCCAGACCCTAGAACCTCCACTTTTCTCACCCGCGCCACAGCCGGGAAGACGGCGGCCCTAGCCATTTCTCCCGGTACAGCACCCAAAGCCTGCGGCCCGGCCACTTCCAGGAACTTTCGAACACCGGGTCTGCGGACTTGGGCACTGAGGACCTGAACAGGAAGATGCGTCCCAGCGTATGACGGAAGTGGCTATGCGTGTGACGCCAGTGGCGGCGGCGGCGAGGGGGGGGCGGGACCTGGGGCCGAGAGCGGTTCGCGCGCTTCAGGCCTAGTCCGGACTCGCCACAGCCGCCGCCATATTCCCGGTAACGGGGGCGCGCGGCCGGGGACCAGCTGGGCCGGAAGAGGGCTCGGGGTCGGCGCTGAGACGGGAAGGGGGTCGGTTGAGTTTGACGCAACCGGAGTCGGTGGACAGAGGGAGGCGCGGGCCTCTGAGGGACGGGGCCGAGGGCGCTGGGCCGGATCTGTGGGGAGGGAGCGGGACAGGCCTAGCCGGGGGCAAGGGCTGGGCCTGGGTGGGGAGCGGAGGCTGTTGGAGCTCCAGGACCCGCAGGGTCTCCAGCTGGGACCAATTTGGGGTTTAGTCAGGTGCGGCGGGGTAGGGCCGCGGGCTTCGCCGCGGTCGTTCTTCGCAGCGCCGTCCGAGGACCCTTAGGAGCAGAGAGAGGCCTGGACTTTCCTGGTCGCGCCACAGGCGGCTGCGGCACAGCTCGGGGTCGGGCCCAAGGGTGATGGGCAGCGAGCCCCGCGAGCCCCAGCGGCCTGGGAGAGCGAGGGGCGGTGCGAAGCCGGGGGCGGGGCGGAGCGGGTGGGGCTGAGCTTGGGCTGCCGGGATGCTGCGTCTCTGGAGACGGGAGGTTGGCAACCATTGCCCTCTTCCCAGCCCAGGACCCTTATGTCTTCTAATCTTTCCCTCTTTTTGGATACTGCAGAGGCATCTTTCTTACTTTTTCCTCTCTCCGTGTTCGCAATCTTCTTTCCGGAGCCATGTCAGAAGGAGTGGATTTGATTGACATATACGCTGACGAGGAGTTCAATCAGGTGAGGACTCATCGGGAGCACTGAGCTCTTCTAGATCAGTTGAGGAATCACTTCCAGCAAACTTCCAGTGGTTCCAAGCTGTGCCAGTCCTTGAGAAACTGCTAGGCCTGAATACACCTCTGTCAGGTCCTAAAATGTACCCTCTCGCACAGACTTTCAAGTCTTCTGACTATCCTTCTTAATGTTAATTTGAGCCTCTAGGCCTAATTTTAAAGGCTTTTACTTAAGAGCAAATAAAAATCAAGGTTAATACAATGGTGAATCAACCTGTGGAACTTGCTCCCCCAGGAAGCTGAAGTTGAATGTCAGTCTCCTCAAAGACTAACCACACTTAAAAATCAGGATTGTTTGCTCTAGTTATTCATGAGGACAATGCTGATACATTTTCCTTTGCGATTTTCTCAAAACCGCAGCTGGGGAAACGTAGTCCCTTCTCCCATGAGGCAGGACAAAGGCACAGTATAAAAGATTCCTTAACATTTAATTTCAGTTCCATTCCGATTGTTTTACATCTTAGTTTCTTCTGTAAATAGCTTGATTCCAGTCTTGACAAGTCCATAGGTGTTTTGGTGTATTTTGTTTTATATTATTAAACTTTATTGCTAAATCTTCTTGTTTGGGAGGGAGAGGTAAAGGTACTGAACACACACATTTTTAAAAAAAAGAAAAAAAGGCAGGTATGGACTCATACACTCTAAGTTGGATTTGTTGGTCTCTATTTTATGTCAAGGAACATGATACAATGATTCCCTTTGAAACAGTAATGTCATACACAGTTCAGTTCTGAACTCTTGAGGTCACATCTCAAGAGTGTTCCAAAGTCTGTTTTAAAAACTTACTAATATCTGGCCTGGATTGTTTTGAGCACCATTCTACTTAGTAAGCTGGTTCGTTCCCATTGGCACCTTTCAACGGGTACACATAAGGACTTGGAAAAAGGATAAAAAGAACAGACTAGAAAAGGAAAATGACCCTGACTTTGATATGAGGCAACAGAAGAGGCTGTTACATGCTATTTTTTTTACTTGTCACAAGTTTGTATTAAAAAACAATTGTATGCTTCATGCCTTTTTTAACATGGAGACTTTAAAACCCAAAAGTGGTGAAAGTAGTGTAATGGACTCTATGTACAGCTTCACCAGTTACACTTTTCAGTAGTCATTTCCCCTTGTCTCCTCAGGTAAACGAGTCATCTATGTGTGGCTGCTGACTGATTTAACTACATGAAAAAAATTTTTTTAATCTTAAGTCAAATCATTATTTATGGATAAAAGGAAAGACTTCGTGTATTAATTTAATCACAAACCATTGCTTTCTTAGGTTTTCCATATTATTTTGAACCAGATTTTTACTACTTTTAACAAGTTAAGTTTTTTTTTAATACAGAATAGCAAGAACAGAAGAAGTCCTTCTCCCTAAGTTCTTCTCTATTATTAATAAAAAGCCTTTTTTCTTCTTAGTTTCCTTATCTGTGGGTTGATAACAGTGCTACTGATTTACTTTGGGAAATGGGCAGAATAGGATTCTTGACCAGAGGGCTAACCATTATTGGTCCGAGAAAATGAGATTTCATAACTTGTTCATCAGTATATCTTGTAGGTCATAGACAAGACACAGGCCTTGTCCAGTCATCACTGCTTTGTCAGGGTAGAAGACATTGTTCTCTACAGTTCTGTGGTCTCTTCAGTTAAAAAGGACTTTTTTATGGGTTTAAGGTAGGCTAAAGATGGTGTGCAGACTAATAAACATTTATATGAAAGAGACAATAATTGAGGCTTCACAAGTCAAAGTATAAATTTTAAATATTTTATATCTGTGGAAGGTCAGGGGAGGGGTGCCTTTTCCCCTACAAATGAGTTAATTTTTGGGAAAACTGGTTTTAATGTAATTTAAAGGCAGCTAAAGAAATGATAAAAGCTCTGTTTGGCTTGCAGTGTTAAAAGCAAATGTAGACTTAAGGCAGCCAGTATGGATTGTGTTTTAGACTGTTTTAAGAATATTATTGATTCACCTTAAGCCGAACTATGCACTTTGCTCCTCAGGCAAAATGAACACAGTTCCTAGATATAACCCTATGGTACTGATGTTCTGATCTCTTACAACATATGCTGCAAAAATCTCTTTTGCAGAATCACTTTACTCGTCTTACACTGAGAGTCTTGAGAGTCTCAGCTGCTCTCTTGGGCTGGGGAGAACTCTGGAAACGTGACCACGAGCTGCCGCTTTGCTGAGTGTTTTGTCTCTGTTCCTTGTGCTAAAATAGGTGCTTTGCACAGTATGCCCAGTTCTTTTCCTTACTTTGATCCACAGGTCTTTACTGAGCTACTTCTGTTTGCTAAGCTGTGTTGGGACTAGTGAGGTAGGAGGAAAAAAAATGGATCCCTCTACTCAGGAGAGATTCCATTCCTGGGGGTTGAGGGCAGTGTGAATAGCAACAGGGAGCGAGGGTGGAAGGTAACAGATGTGAAATGGCAATTATAAAAGTCAGAAACTTTGAGCTTTGGTTACAATTAAAAAGAAACAGTGTAATGGAGTAGTTGCTTTGAGAAAAATCCTAGGCTTTACTACTACCCTCAAATGTCAGAGAAAAGGGGGGCTGAAGGGTAAGAACATTGAGCATACAAGTAGAGTAGTTCTTACTTAAATGTCAAAGTTCTGCGAGTTCTCTTGTTAAGAAGCTTCATGAGACAATCACAATTCCCTGCTTGTTTAAAACACAAATTATTTCCTGAAAAAACTGTATTAAATACATACTTCCTTTTTTTTATCTCCTGGAGTGAAACCTTCAGCATCAATGTATGTAAACATTTATTTTTTCACTTAATTTGTAGAATTAGGTTTTGCTTTAACCTAATCCAGTACTGCATAAATCATCAGTTCATTTGGTAATCAAGAAAACCTCAGGCCCTTATCTTTCTGTTTTAACCACTGAAGAAGTAAAATGAATTGGTGTTGTGACAAGATTAAATCCAAGCACAACTTGAGACATTGTTCCTTCAGTAAAATTCTCAGTAGAATCCTCTTGTCCTGTGTATCAGAAGCTTTGAACTGAAGCTCTATGGCTGAGAGAGATGGTTTGAATCTTGTTGACAATTTGCAGTCATTGAATCCTTTGTGTTTCTTAAAGTAAGGTGACCCAGATACCAAACTCTTCCAGGATTGAGTCTGTCATGGTCTCTAAGGGACCCTGAAAGAGTAGATAGTTTGCTTAGATTTATAGTATGAAGGATTTCCTGGGGATCTGTTTTATCTCTGAGCTGATTATCTTAGGTGATAATGTCATCTGCAAATCTGCATGTTAGTTCCCTAATTTTTTGTATTAGAACTTTTAGTCACACATCTCTGAATTACAGATACTGCATGGAAGTAATCCCGATTTGGTTCCATGACTATCCAAAATGAATAGTGTGTTTCCTTATTCCCTTTAAGTTCCACTTCAAAGTCCTTGATCTAAAATAATAGGGGGGCACCCTGGTGTGAAGTGGTGCTCTCTGGGGAGGGATTAGAGTACTGGAGAGGATCAAATGGTTTCTAAGTCCTTCTCTACTTTGAACCCCAAGAGCAAATCACCATACCTAGTACGTGAATAAAAAAGTGGTTAGTCTAGAGTATGGATAGTTTGAGATATAAGGGCCTTGAGGTGTTTCACGCACAAAGTGTTATTAGCCTTCGGCATCTTTACCTTACTCAGTTTATATCCACTCTGTGCTCTCCAGTGTTAGCTTTTCCCCGTTCTTCACACACTCACAATATCCTCATTTATAGGTTCAACTACATAAAACAGCCTTTGTGGGCTTCTCTGCCTGATTCCATTTCTCAAAAATTAAGTTGCTCTTAAAGTGTTTACTCTCTTTTGCCTTTCCTTTTTTGACATTTTTACAAAGTTTAAACTCTTCTCCTGTTGGGTGTCTCCTCTCGTGGGTATGCATAATTTGAAATTATTTGAAATTATTTACATGACCCAGGAAGTAGAATCCTTTCACCTTCACTATCAGAAGTCTAGTGGTATTGTCTTATTGTGTATGTTTTTCCATTATAGTTCAGATAAACTGAGAAACGGAAAGATTGTTTCCAGTATTTTGTGATGGCATGAAGGTCTAACAATGAATTTTGTCTTGAGTCTCTCTTATCTCACTTCAGAATCACCAGTTTTGGTGATGGTATTGGAGGGAGAAAGTTATTGGAGCTTCCTGTGCTGACTTGTGTTAGAGGAAATGACTCTTTCATCAAGAAACTAGAAAAGTTACCTAATGTAGGTTCTTCTTTATTCCCTTCTTAAAAAAAACATCAGTGACATGGATGAGCTGTGGTTTCCCAAAACACTTTGAACTTCCCTGTCTTTGTCATTTTGAATGTTTTAGAATGTTGTCTGACAAAGTACTTGTCCGATCCTTGACATGAAAAGATCTCTCTGAGATAATAACATTGTAAAATCTGACTCTTTAAAATTCCTTGATAGTAGTTCTTGTGTTCTTAAGATTTGGGGGATATCATGTTAGCTTGGGCTGCTATAATAAAATACCGAAAACTGTGTGACTATAAACAACAAATTTATTTCTCACAGTTCTGCAGGCTAGAAGGCTGAATTCAGGGTCTGGTTCTGGTGAGGGTGCTCTTCCAAGTTATTGTATCCTCACATGCTAGAGAACAGAGAAAGCAAGCACTCTTTTGACTCTTACAGGGGCACTAATGCCATTCATGAGGGCTCTACGCTCGAAACTTCATCTACTTCTGACTATCTCCCAAAGGCCCTACTTCCTAACACCATCACTTTGTGGAGTAGGGTTTCAACATAAGCATTTTAGATGGACATGAACATTCAGTCTGTAACAGTAATGTATCACATAGGTAAAAAGCGTATCTCACATATCTTCCAGAGTACACAGTCATACAGTAAATGCATATTACTATGATATAGCTTATGATACGGATGCTTGTCCTGTTTTCTGACCCTTACATTTTAGAGAACTTACATTGTTTAATTTCTTTGATTAGTATTAGAAAGCTGGTAGTGTGTACTCTAAGTTTTAGAGCTTCCCTACACAGTTTGTGTAAATGAAAAAGTTTAAACCAGTTAACTCCCTTTCTTTTTTGCATTTTGGTTCCTACTTTAACATTTCTGTTTCTAAATAAATATACTCTGTTACTTATTAAGTAGAATAGTAAGTTTTGTGTTAACTCTTGATTTTGGGAATAGCATAAGATGTTGAAAATAAACCTTCATTAGTGTATCTTAGTGTGGCCTTTAGAAGCTGACCTCATTAATAACAATAGGTGCATCTTTATGCTTTCTTAGTTTGCTTGTTTAATTATCATGTATCTTTTGAGTCTCACAGCTGGCTAAAGCTAGAAATATTGCGGACTATTAACAGGGTCTTGGGAGAAAACCTACATAAGCAAAATTAAATGAAACTTTTTTAAATGAGGAAGTTTTTCTTACCTGGTTTCCTAAAGTAAAACCAGCAAGTTTGGTATGCTGTTTTATAAAGTGTTTGACTGTGGATTCTAAGTAAACTAGAATGAAATAGAGTGAACAAAAGAGAAGGTTTGTGAACCCGCCTTTGCCAACCCTTCATCCCTTAGGACCCAGAGTTCAACAATACAGACCAGATTGACCTGTATGATGACGTATTGACAGCCACCTCACAGCCCTCAGATGACAGAAGCAGCAGCACAGAGCCGCCGCCTCCTGTTCGCCAGGAGCCATCTCCCAAACCCAATAACAAGACCCCTGCAATTCTGTACACTTACAGTGGCCTGCGTAATAGGCGAGCTGCGGTCTATGTGGGCAGCTTCTCCTGGGTGAGCATGCGTAACCACAAAGTATTATGGGTGGGTTGGAGGGAGATCACTGGGAGGTGATGGCATTTTCAGAAACCACTGTTGAACTGTTTTGTGCCCTGATGGGGTTGGATTTCTTTTTCCTGGGATCAGGTTGCATTGATCTCTGAAAGAGAACTATCCTGAGGATGTACTGGTGCCGAAGAAAGCAATGATTAAGTGGGTAGTTGCTTTTTCTGCCATCTTGTTACTGCCCCAACCCTGGGGCTTTATGTCTGGCAGGGCCATCTGTGGGATGAGATTTCAGAGTGAACACTTTGAACTCTTAGTGGTTATTAGATGGTCCTGTGGTAATTATGGGTGATAGAGATCAAAGATCTTGATGGCTGTAGTACACATGGGGTAGGTGGTGGTGGTTCTGCAAAAGTTATTGTCTGACATGTTTTTGGGCTGGTGGGGGTGGTTTCCCTATTTGGAGATGTATATACTGAGGGGAAAATTCCTGACAATGGTCAAACCAGCGTATCAGGTCTATAATTAAACGTTGTTAGTAATCAGTTTGAACTGAAGATCAGCCAGCCCAAATGGCAAAGTTAAAATAGGTTTTAATCTTTTTAATGTCTAAAGATGGGGAGAGGATGGGTGGTTTTGGATTTCTGTGTGGGTAAGGACAATAAGTTGAAATATTGATCAGCCCTTGGGTTTCCTGTAGGAAGTTATGAGTGTGACTAGAATCCTAGGTTTGGGGAAAGGATTTGGGACTCTGGTGGGGGGGTGTGTAGCTCTTGACACTCTTCCTTTTCCATCTTGCCAACCCCAGTGGACCACAGACCAGCAGCTGATCCAGGTTATTCGCTCTATAGGAGTCTATGATGTGGTGGAGTTGAAATTTGCAGAGAATCGAGCAAATGGCCAGTCCAAAGGGTGAGGTCTGGATTTGAGCCCCTTTTAGTTTTTAACCATTGGAATAAGATCTGCACTGTATTTCAGCCCTAGATTTTAATCCCTCCCACCCCTGGCCCATTTTACTGCCTTGGTTTTGGTAAATTGCCTTAGAATGGGGACCAAGGACCTTAGAACAGCCATCCATTGAGCAGCAAAGAAAGCTGATTGCTAATTCCAAATAGGAAGATTATAGGCCAACACCTTTTTGTATGTGTGTTTTATGTAAGCAAGTTGTCTTTTGCTTTACCAATTTTCACTAGAAGTGGAAGAGAATTTTTTGTTCCTCTCTCAGCTGTCTAATAGATCTGACTCATTTTTAATTTTTCTTCCTGAAGGTATGCTGAGGTGGTGGTAGCCTCTGAAAACTCTGTCCACAAATTGTTGGAACTCTTGCCGGGAAAAGTTCTTAATGGAGAAAAAGTGGACGTGAGGCCAGCCACCCGGCAAAACCTGTCACAGTTTGAGGCACAGGCTCGGAAACGTGAGTGCGTCCGAGTCCCAAGAGGGGGTACGTGGAGACCATCTGTATGAAGGGGGGGTGTTTGTGGGTTTGTGTTTTGTGTGTAGGCTTAGCCTACAATGTGGAGGAGTTTGGGGGAGGGTGGGTGGTGGTGGTGGTGGGTGGTGGCATGGTCACTAGGTGGGCCAAAAAATGAGGCTGTATACCAGAAAGAGCACTGTGCTGGCAGCCAGGTGGGTTCAGGTTACTGTTTGGTTCTGCCACTAACTCATTATGTGACCTTGGGCAAGTCACTTTCTGTTTAAGGCCTGTTTCCCCAGGTGAACTAGATACACGACATTTAAAGTTCTGTCGACTCTAAGTTATGTGTTTCTACTTTAAAAATAGGCTTAATTGTAAAAATGTGCCAAAAAGCAGCTGCCCTACATGTAAGTAAGGTTAATAAAGATGGCCATAACCTTGTCATGAACACACACAGGGAGGATGCCCTGTGAGGATCTGCCAGAGAGAGTGCTAAGGAATGAGAATCGAACATCTCCAGCATTGTCCAGGGAAGAGGGTGCCCTTTTGATTACCGCGTATCTTATTAGTCTGCTTGGCAGTTTCCCATTAGTAAAGAAAGTTGCATCATATACCTTAGCTTGATGATAGTATCCCTTAAGTTCACCTTAACTCCCTTTATTCTGACTCTGTACTCACTAAGCCACCTTCTGATACTAATTTGGTTTCCCAACTAGGCTCTCCTACTGGGAAGAGAATGCGCTGACCAGCCGACACAAGTATTCCGGTCTGCTTGGCAGTTACATTTCTCATTGTAAATTAATAAATTGGCATTCTGGTTTATGAATCAGTCTCTTGTGAGTTTGGTTAGCGTGAATCAATCTCCTAGGGTTCGATCACCCCTAGGTGAAGTGTTAAAATCGAATTTCTGAACCTGCGAAACCTGAGGACCACACCTGGGATTGTCCTGACCTCACAAGGTGCAACTGCCCTGCAAAGCCCTGCCTGAAACAGCAAATTACCTTCTTTTACTACAGTTGGGGGGATGGGAGAGTGGCAAAGATTCATCACCTATAGTCTGTCACGGCATAGGTCCTGCTCTCCAAATAGTGCCTTTTTTGATTGGGTAGTCTGCTGGGACCTTGATTGAAGGTGTAAATATGGCCACTTCTCCCTAGCATAGGAATAACTGTTCCTTTTAACTATTACTGAGAGCCTAGATAAACGTGCTGTGAGTCCCCATTGTTCTGGGTTAGAAGGCATACACTTTCTCCTTGACAACTTGAATTTACAAGTCCCTTCTGTTCCCAAGTTACTCTGTAATTCAACCCTGTTCTGACTTTCCTAAGAAGCATAATTTTACAGGCACAGCAGAGGTAACATTCCTACCTCTGCTTGGCTTTTTATTCCTTGGTGTTACCTTTGTTGAAATGATGATGATGCCTGAGTGGTGCATTTCTGCTCTGTCACTTTGATAGACTTGAGCTCTGTTAATTCACTAAGTACAGCTGCTGGATTTCTCTGCTTAAAAACAGTTGCTACTCTTGGGATTGCAGCCATAGATACAAACAGAACCCTTGCAGATGTAGGAACAGTAGCTGGGAAGTGGCTAGCTTTCAGAGAAGCACTCTTGTTAGTAGCTCTTCTCCAGGTGGAGAGAACTCAGAAGACTCAGACTGCCTTGTGTTTGAGCCATGAGAAGCAGGAGAGTGCTGTGAGATGCACTGGTCATGTCCTGCAGTAGAGACACCAAGGTGGTTCCCTGGGTGAAAAGTGCCACTTTGTGCTTTAATCGGGAGTTGGGCTCGCTAATCACTGACAAGCTGTAGTTCAAGGAGTGCTCATCCCTCTTTCCACATTGTCTGCTAGAGGAACTTTGTACCCCCCAGACTCCCAGGCCGTGTGAGCATGTTCTTGTCTTGGATTCCACATTAATCAGGCTTAGAGAAGACTATTAAATTGGAGAGAGGGAACAAGTTCAACCAAGTGACCTGTCAGAGCCACATTCCAGCTGTATACAAACGTGTTTTGAGCACCTGTTGTGCACAGCACCTCACCAGTGTGCTGTGATGGCGCTCCTGGTAGTCTGCTCGGAAAGGTAGAGGCTTTGGGCCACTGAAATGTAGTCGGGGTTTCCCAGATCCAAGGCATGTTTTGTACAAGCTTTTGTTAGGAGTACCTTCTGTCAGCTGTGTGCCGTCTGCTCATTCTGTGGGCAGATCTTTTCTTGGCTTATCTCCCATTTTCTCTTTACCTCTCACTTTCTCTCTAATCTTCTACTCCTTGTTGTATGTCTCTTCCCCATCCCAATTACCAGTTTTGTTATGTGGATGGAAGAATTGTCATCCATCCTCTACCCTTCCTTCTCTTCCCCTAACCTGTCCAAAGCACCAAGGCAAAAAGGAAATTTCAAGTGTACAACAGAGTGGAAAAGGTCAACTAGTACCCGTCTAAGGAGAGAGGCCCTGATCTCATCAGGGAATGTGGGATTTCAAATCACGTTGAATCCAGCTAAACGTTAGTGAACATATTTCAAAATTCATTTTCTTGTCGGGGTTGCTTGGCATGTAAAAATAGAAAACAACCCTAAGGATAAATTAAACATGAAGCACTAAAAATTCGGGATAAAGAACAGTCTTTAACATAGAATTAAGGATAGTATTGCATTCTGGGTTTATGTCTTTAAGTTGCTTCTGACCTTTTTCTCTGAGACCAAAGAAAGGATAATGGATGATTTATATTCTTTCTCAGTTGCCTGACACCTTCCTCAGTATGGTATCAGATGACTCTTGCTGAAGGATGAGCTGGTCCCATAAGTATGTGTACAGCCTGAGCAGTAACATTAGCTCTGTTTTGCTCCATAGGAATACCTCCACGGGCCCACTCCAGAGATTCTAGTGATTCTACTGATGGACGGGCCACACCGTCTGAGAGCCTTGTACCCTCATCTGCCCGCGTGGATAAGCCCCCCAGCGTGCTGCCCTACTTCAACCGCCCTCCTTCAGCCCTCCCCCTGATGGGTCTGCCCCCACCACCAATTCCACCCCCACCACCTCTCTCCTCAAGCTTTGGGGTCCCTCCTCCTCCTCCTGGCATCCACTACCAGCATCTCATGCCCCCTCCTCCTCGATTACCTCCTCATCTTGCTGTACCTCCCCCTGGCGCCATCCCGCCTGCCCTTCACCTCAACCCAGCCTTCTTCCCCCCACCAAATGCCACAGTGGGGCCTCCACCTGATACTTACATGAAGGCCTCAGCACCCTATAATCACCATGGCAGGTGAGGACTGTCTTGTTCCTTTCAGGTCTGAGCCAGGTAGAGTAGGATAGGCAGTGTGTCACGTGTTCTGTCCTCCCTGAGGAAGAACGCCAGCACTGAATTCTTGTGTTTTCTCTTGTGGAAACTCTTGTTCTAGTGTTGAGGCCCAGGAAATAGTTAACTGCCTGTTAGATGATATTTTTATTTGGTGTTTTGTTTGTATCTTTACCTCTTTACCCAAACCATGTCCTTTGTATCCCTTTCTAAGGAGCCTGGTTAAATTGACTGCCATACGTGGCTATTAGCAATGCTGTCAATGCCCAGTACTACTGGTCATACCAAAATCACAAAAATATATGGCTGTCCTTAAAGAGATTATGGTTACCTAAAATGTAAACAGGCTAAGAAGCATTTAAGATGTTGTATGGGAGAGCAGAGTTAAATAACAGTACCATGGAGTATGGCAGGGATGAGGGGCATGGGCAAACAGGAATGGTATTGATTCTGTGCAGCCGAGAATCGGCGCCTCCGCCCTCTACAGTGAGTGAAGCAGAATTTGAAGAGATCATGAAGCGAAACAGAGCAATTTCCAGCAGTGCCATTTCCAAAGCCGTATCTGGAGCCAGTGCAGGTAATTCCCCCTTACCTTTGCTGCCTTCTTCGTACCTTTAGTTTTTCCATTGTTTTGTCATTTCCGTTGGCAACAAGTGCAATAAGATAAAGTTGGAGCACTCTGAAATTGTTAAAGAGTGGTACATTTTGAAAAGCAATATGTAACCTCATTTCTTGACTTTCGGGAAGATCCAGTGGTAGTGTTTATTATTATCCACTATCTAGACCTGCCCCTTGAAAACCAGCTTAGTGCCTAGAACATAAATAAATAACTAGTAACATCTCATTGTGGTATTTACTGTAGAGTGAAATCCCTGTCTCATGCAGATCTTGATTTCAGTGGTGGATGAGTGGATCTGTTGTCCATGTAGTGGTTCCAATGCGAAATACAGACCCTGGGTTTTTAGGATAGATGCCTCAATTAGATGATGGTTTGATATGAAACTGATTACATCTAGGGGACCAGGCAGAGCTGGTGACCTTCATGTAGCCTCTCCTAGAAGGAGGCAGGTTTGTTGGGTGTCATCTTAAGGCGTAATAAGCCCTTAGAGACAACTCTTGCCCTGCTGTTAGTATTAAGTGGGCAGAACCCAAAACCGTAATTCTGAGAGCCCTGGGCACAGAATCTTTGGTTCCTAAGAGAGTATGGGAAGTTTCAGTACTGGTCCAAGTTTCACATTATGGTATTAGTCATATTTATGTCCTTCCTGTGAATTTCCCACATGAATGTAAATGCAGGCTGTCAGAGCTCCTAAGAAACAAGTGAACTCTAAATATTATCATCTGTTTTCTGTCATTTCTCATCTGTGGCTGTAAAATTTGAATCCACAGAGTAGGCTAAAGACAGCATATGTAGTCTCTTTGTTCTATCAGGAAATCTTCATTGGCATCTGAGTGACTCAAAAAGTAATCTGTGTTCATTGTAACAAGTCAGACATACAGAAGAGTATAAGAAAATAATGACTATTCTTTCCCACCAGTTCCTTCACATTGAAATGATCAGTAATTGAGTTTAGTGTCTCCCTCCCTTTTTGTTGTTCTCATTCCAGTTGTTTAAACCACAGATATTTATTGAATGCCTACAAAATAAGCAAAATTTCTTTACCCTGGTAGAGCTAACATCCTGGTGCTCCTAGACCACCATAGCATCACAGTTCTCCCATAGCTTCCATTTTGTTCATACTGCTTTGCACAGAGGAAGCTACCAGTCCTCATCATCCCTGGACCTTTGTCTGGTTTCATGCTTTCCTCACATTATCTTCTGTCCTTAATGCTCTTGACTTAGCTTGGAAAAGCATTGTGCAGGTACCCACCCTGAGACCACTCTTCTGAGCCAAGCATTATTCACATTTGGGAAATGAAGAGGCTAGTTGTTGATGGCAGTATAATTCAGGATATATAAATTACTACATATATATGTTTTCAATATATGTCATATATATGTATACACACATGATTATAGATTAGAAATAATTCAGATTTAGAAGTAATTAGATTAGAAATAATAAAATGTTTATCAAGTCCTCTATACAAGAACTACCACCAAGATCATCTTTTATAATTTAGTGTCTATCCTCCAGGTATTTTTTTTCTATGCATATAACAGTATATAACTGATTATTTTTACAAAAACAGAATGTAATTTTGTAACTTTCAAGAAATTAATATATTCTGAAAATCTATTATATCAATATATAATAATACCTAATGTTTATTGAGCCTTTACTAGGTGCTGGGCACTGTACTAAGGACTTTGCATGGATTACTATGTTTGCATCTCAGGTTTACCTCATGCTTTTTAATAACTGTGGTATTCTATAGAACTGTGATTATGTGATTTCATGATTTACAGAGCCAGCCCCTACTGAAGGAGCTTTAAATTGTCTCGAATTCTTTGATAAAACAAACACTGCTCAAACATTGTTGAACATACATAGTTGTGAAGTGTGAACATTTTTAGAATCACTGGGTCAAAAAGTATGCACAGTTTATTTTAATAGATATTGTCACATAGCCCTCAGATAAGAATGTACCAGTTTATGCATCCACTACACCACTGGAATGTAGATGCCCACTAGTTTTCTACCTGCCACTTCTGCCTCATCCATTTTACCATGTGGTTCCCTGGGAGAGCAGGTTACCCTTGGTTGTGTCCTCCTGAGTTCTCTTTTTGGTCCAATTAGTTTACTGCCTTTACTTATCCTTGGCCTTTCCTGTCCATCCCCCATCAGGGGATTACAGCGACGCGATTGAGACGCTGCTCACAGCCATTGCTGTTATCAAACAGTCTCGGGTCGCCAATGATGAGCGTTGCCGGGTCCTCATCTCCTCTCTTAAGGACTGTCTTCATGGCATTGAAGCCAAGTCCTACAGTGTGGGTGCCAGTGGGAGCTCATCCAGGTGAGTTGATTGCTTCAGCAGCCTGCCAGCCCTGAACAGCACTCTTCCAGGCTGGCAGAGGGCAAAAGGAGCACAGTAAACTTGGCAAGGTCCTATATGGAAGAGCCAGCCTAGCTCTGATGTCTTTAAGGGGAAGGAATTAAACATTTGCATTAGTAAATGTTGTAATGTCTGGAGTCTGTGCTGGGTGAGGCAGTGGACTTATTTAGGAAACAGGAGAGACTGGTACAGTTAAGGACATGGGTTTTGGAGCTATCCATGCTTGGATCTGAATCCCAAGTCTGTTTGTAACTACCTGTATGACCTGGAATATGGAAATTAATCAACTTTCCAAGTCCCATTTTTCTCATTTTTAAGAAAGGGGCAGTAATAATACTTGTACAGACCTGTTGTAAAGATTAGGTGAGAGAAGCATGTAAAGCTTTTTGCACTGTGCCTGATACAGATGTCAACAAATTTAACTGTTGTTATTTTCCCAAGAAAGACTAGTCCTCAAAGAGCTAACTTCTCAGACAGTGGGCCCATAATGGAAGAGTAGTTTAGATCAATGCTGGTAGACACCAAAACACAGCTGTCTTGGAAAGAATGTGGTGGGCCAACTGAGGCTGAAGGATCTTTCTAATAGGAAAAGACATCGGTCCCGAGAGAGGTCACCTAGCCGGTCCCGTGAGAGCAGTAGAAGGCACCGGGACCTGCTTCATAATGAAGATCGGCATGATGATTATTTTCAAGACCGGAACCGGGAGCATGAGAGACACCGGGACAGGGAACGGGACCGGCACCACTGAGAAAGGTGGGACAAAGCCCCATTCCTGGCCTGGCAGGTGATCTTCTATGAAGGAAAAATTACCGATAGTGATGATTTCTCTTTTTAAAGCCTGTCTTTTGACTTAGGTGTCTGAAAATTTAGAAAGGCAGATTTCCTGTGTGATGAGTCTCACCCTGAGAGAGACCTGAGATTAAGCTGGTCTTGCTTGTCACTTGACTGCCTTGACCTGGTATCTGAGACACCGTACACAGGGTGAAGAGCACAGGGTCTGCAGGCAGATGCCAGAGTGGAAGCCCAACTCCTCCAGCCATATGAGTTTGTGTGCCTCCATTTGCTCACTTGTAAATGTCTCACTGAATTGTTGAGTGTTCAGTGAGGTGATCCATCTAGAGCATTTAGCATTCATGGCACCTGTCACATGATAACGTCTCAATAAATGGTAGCCTTTGTTATCACTACTGTTATATTTTAATCCCACCAAACTACCAAGTAAAAAATAAGGAAAACTGACCAAGACAGAAAAGTAAGACCATTACCTGCTTATTAGTTTCCAGTGTGCAACATTAATGATTCTAAGAACAAATGTCTTAGTAGAAACATTTTGCAAATCAGGGTACTTTAGTCAGGAGAAAGCAGATCTGAAAAAAAGTTTATTTAATAACTTAAGAGAGCATGTGGAAGATACATCAGTGGAAGGATGTATTTGTTTTGGGGAAAAAACAGTGAAGTGATTTTTTGTGTTTTAAGCAAAACAGAAGCAGGAGAGATGGGGGGGTACAGGGTATATATTCACTCAGGTAACTGAAAAGTTGGGTTGGGCTTGGTTGGATCCAGAGGCTCCGGCTGTGTCATCAGGACTTAATCACTGCACATCTCTCAGCTGTGCTTTTTCTGTTGTTTTCATTCTGACAGGGTCTGTATTGGGCAGGGGTGGGGGGAGCATGTAGTTTCAGGTCACATCCCACCAGCTTAGCAATCCCAACTGAAAGAAAGCTTCCAGCAAAGATTGTTTCTAGTATGTAATCATGAGTGTGTCTCCTCTGTTTCTGTGGAGATCTGTAAAGGAGTCTAGACTCTGGTTAGGTGGCCTGTTGGTGGTTGCTGGAGGCAGTTGCATGGCCCAGGTGACTGGGTTTCTCTTCAGTGCTGTGGTTTCACATCAAGCACACTGTGAAGCTGTCCTTCCTTGCTTTTTGGCCAGTTTGGTTGGCCTGAAGTAATGGTAATTAGAAAGGAGGGTGAGGAGTAGGAACAGTTCTGTTTGGTATCTTTGGGGTAGCTAGATGGATGACTGATGAAGAAACCCGCCATCACCTGAGTGCCTGTAGTTCACTAGCAATACCTGGATTATAAACAGTTGGAAAATGGCAGTGTTTTGCCTAGTGACAGCCTACTAACCAACACAAAGAGTCTTGTTATGTTCGGCTAATGCCCTCTACCATGTCATTTGGCAGCATCTGCCATTAACTTAAGCAGAGTTATACCTGGGAATTCTTTTCGTCATCTTCTGTAGGGGGAGAATACATGAGAAAATGAAAAGTTACTAACTTGTTTTGCTGGCCTCTTCCCTGTTCTTAAACCACTCATTTAATCCACAAAATCTTAACACCACCACTGAAATCTAGGATAATCCACATAAAATTAACAGTTAGGCTGTGGGTTCTACATACTTCTAGACTCTGCAGGAGTTCTGAGAGGTCTCCACATATGCTCCAGAAAAGCAGACCCTAGGGAAGGTGGAGCCTACCAACAGCTAGCAGTCCCACCCCGGCAGGAGGGCGCGCAGTGGAGGAAGGCTTTGCTCTGGTCCCAGCTTCTCTAACAGCCGCATTTCCGGTTTCTTGTTTGAGGTAGCACAGTTGCCAGTGTTGCTTGTGGGTCCAGCTTCCCTCCCTCCCTAATACTGCAGCCCATGATGTGTGTCCTTTAGACATCACTAGAATCAAAGTGGCCCCTGGAGGTGTTACTTGGTCTGTGCAGAGCATCTTCAATTTAGTTAGAACACATTCCTCATAGCCATTTGACAGAGAAATTGTGAGATCCGCTGATCAGCACGTCGGGGATTGAACATCTGAACCTGAGACTTTAGCCATCATTTTGTTTCTTCCACCTGTAAAATGGGACTTTGTCTTCCATAATGAGGATGATTCAATTTGGGTAACTCAAAAATCCTGTAACCTGCAGTTCCCAGAAAACAGTCATCTGGCCTGTGACAAGATGAGGGAAATGAACTCTGATGCAGGTTTCCCAATTCCCTGTTTTTCCTAGTTACCCTTAGATATCTTGGTCATTCCTTCCAAATAATTAGCCCAAAAGGACTGAATCAGACACCCACAAAATGTCTCATAAGATGTCTTAATTCCTTCTGCAGTTTACCAAGTTGTAACTTAGAGATTTCATGTTGGAGAGAGAGTACATTTATCTTGAGAACTTGGCAAGCTCTGTGTACAGTACCTTTTAGTTGGAAATAGTGGTATGACAGGTGTCCCGAGAGCAAAAAAATGTGTTCCGTCTAGGGCTGCAGTGCAGCTGCCTCCGGTCTTGTCCTATTATTAGGTGATCTGGCGCTTTGACTTCTTGTAGTCCTTGGCCCTTTTCTCATTATAGGGTGTTTTCCTACTTGAAATAGTCTTTCTCACCTCATTCCTGTCCTGCTGGTCCAATGAAAATTGAGCATTCTATTCAATTCTGAGCCAATGCAAAGATTCAGAAACCCGGTGGCATGAAATTGAGAAGGCAATGAAGGCCTCAGTTTCCCTTATACAAAAGGGGACAGACATCTGTCTGTGTAGGTATTTAGAGAAGGCAGAAGCCATAACAGACTGTGAGGATCCCAAGCTGAAATAGTACCACTTCATAGTGAGAAGAATCAGGCAGTTTGTAGATGTGTTTTAACTTGGACAGCTCCTCCAGGTTACAGAAGTACATAAATAAAGGGTGAGCATTTGTGTGTTAGGCTGTGTTGCCAGTGTGGGCATTAGTATATATCCTTAGCCTGAATATAATCCCCCTTTCTTCTTCTAACTAGTAATTCTGTTTTATGTGGTCAGATTGACAGGCCACCCCCACAGATTGATACTGTAACACTGGAACAAGGGTTGAGCTACTAGCAACCTTAAGTTTGATAGAGATGTGACAAGTGGCTTAACATAGTCTTACTATTGGCAGTTCTTAACTGTGCTAATTAGGTTTCTTGGATGGTGACTACTGATCATTTTATTTCCATTTTCTGCTTTCCTGGCCAGATCACTCCTGCATGGTGTTAGTATGCTGCTTGGTCCCTCACCAACAGCTGTCATCTGGGGAAAAACTTAAAATCTCCAGTTTTACTACAACTTAGAATCTCTCTGGCTCACTGTGCGTGCACACACATTTCTTATAAGAACTGTGTACCTGTAAGAACACTGAAATCCGTTTTAACCAGGGCTTCTTTAAAAGAAAAAAAGTTTAGGAGTTTCCTGTGTAAGTACATGCCCCTGCTAGGGTCTTTTGGGTGTATGGGGGTTAATGGATTTTCTTACGTACCACTTGTTCTCTTACCGTTGTACCCTCCCATTTCCAGATTTTACCCCCCTCCCCTTAAGGTAAGCTATGACTTACTCAAAATAGATTTTCTGAAACAGTATTTAAACTCCCATGTTCCCTTATACTAACTTTTCTTGAAATGTTGTAGTTTCCATACTTTTCTAGCCAGTCAGCCAAATTGCTTTGAGACCTCATTTCATTCTCTCTCACACTGACCGTAAAGTAAGATGTCACTGCTTTTTTCTCTCTGCTCACTGCAGCTTCTCCAACCACTGCCTCGCCACTCACAGGGCCAGACACTGCCAGACAATCCTGCTTGCTTTCTTTTGCTCTCCCAGGCTTGCATTCTGTCTACATCTCCTACTTCATATGTTGTAACTTTAGAAAATGCCAGTGTAACTCATATAAGCCCATTAATGAGACAGTAACCTCTAATTTGTGTTTTCTTTTCTGATGTTCTCAATTGCAGGAGTCTGGTTGGAAGCAAATTTTTTTTAATGGACTTGCATCTCCTCACCTTGATCCAGGACTAAAGGACGGAGGCCGTTCCACCCCTTCCCCTTCCTCCAAACCCCTAACCCTCCCAAGACACCCAGGAGTACCCTCTGCCCTACAGGATTGAAGACTGCCTGGCAGCCCTCCCAGTTCCACACCTCCCGTTTGCCAGGGGAAAGAACCTAAAGACTCTGTGGTTGGGAGGGGTGGCAGACAGGAAGAACACATTCAGGCCCCTGGTCTCCAGACAGAGTGGTGCTTTGTCCAAGGAAACATGAGTTTCTGATTTTCCAGGAGCACATCAGTGGTGAGGCTGATGGGAAGACTTCCTTCCCAAAGACAGTGGATGCTCCACATGAGATCTTGGAGTGACTGGGGGTGCCAGAGTATGCCCAGAGTCCTGCCCTCAGCACTAGGTCCGATGGGGCCAAGAGGGTCCAAAGCCCTTGCTAACGTACAACTTCTTTAGCTCCTCTGCCTTTCCAGCCCTTTGAGGAGGGACCATGAGAACAGAAATTACCTTATGAAAAGCTTCTCCTCTTCTTTTCACCTTTACATATTGATGATTTGTTTCCCTGACCTCCCAGAGGGCTGAACCGTTCCAACTCCCTGCTGCCCAGCCTCCTCAGTGGGCTTGCGCCCCCTAAGCAGAGAAGGCCCACAAGGTTGAGTTCTGGTGGGGAGCCTGGCAGAGCCAGTTACCACCCTCTGCTGCTTCGTGCTTGGTTGCCTCTTGCAATAACCAGCTCTACTGGGTATTCCTTTCCCTGGGGCTTTTCCATTTCACATGTGGAGACCTTCCCCCAACAGGGCTGCTTCCTTGTTTTAGAGGAAGGTACTGCCATTGGGAGATTGGGACATGGGACCTCAGCAGTGAGGAACCCTCGTGAAGTACCGGGAGGAGTGGGGAAGGCGGCAAGTCGGGCAGGATACAGCCTGCTTCCAGACTTCTCTTCGTCAGGTTTGATGTAAGCATGGGCTTGCAGCCCCCAGGTACATACTTTTACTCAACTGTGGGATAACCTAGCACTAGTAGGGAGGTAAAGTCACAAATTTGGTGTCTTTCCACCTTTTGACTATTGACTTAATAGCTCCCCTCACTCTGAGGGTTCTTCTGTCCTCTGATAAAGAGCAAGGAAGAAGTGGAGCCTAGCTTGAATGAGCTCAGCTCAGACTCCGGGGGCCATTTTCTACACAGGCAAATGGAATTGCTTTTCCCATGACATCCAAATTGTGATGTGGTTGCTGCTGAAGGAAGATGCAGCAACATAGTCCCATAGTACCCACGGGGTGATGGATGCAACCTCTGTGTGCATCTATAGGACACTTGACATCTAACATGAGAAGAGACGTGGCATGTGAGATGAGACTTGGTACGTGAGATGTAGGGTCACTGGAGACCCTCCCGACTCAGAGGGGAGAGACTGAGTTGAACTGAACCCTTCCTCTGTCCCTTGCACGTTTCTGACATGCCCTCAATTGGTCACTGAGGGAGTACCCCCCAGGGTTGGAGAGGCACATTCCCTTGGGGCAGAGGCTGCAGGTTTGTAGCTTTTTTTCCCTGTCCCCCAACCCTGTCCCCACCTCTACTTCAGGACATGGCACCCACCCAACCGGCCAAGTGTTAAGTTGATGTGCTTATCCTCAAGAGCGGCTCCAGGGGTGTTTTTGAAATGTAGAGAAAACCAAGTAAGGTGACAGCTTAAGGAAAAAAAACAATACCAGAAAAGTTTACCCAGAGAAGCTTTTTTTCTCCCCATTTTTGTTTTGTTTTTACTCAATGACACAATTTTTAGTTTTATTTCCTGATAGCAAAAGGAAAAAAAAAAAACCCTCAAAAAGGCCAAGGCCCCGTCCCCCTGTTGTCGGTGATTTGTCTGTCTTTCTGATAGGTTGAAAATTGTGTAATAAACTTGATGACGCTGTCAATCTTTTATACTGCATTGTATTTTTTTCCTTTTGTAACAAAATATTTTTAAATAATAAATGGGGTGTGAGCTGTTTGATGGATTCTGCATTGAATAGATGTGTCGAGGTGTCTGGGCATGGGCATGGGCTGACACAGAGGCTGCGGGATCACAGTGAGACCGAGTGCTAAGCTGGAGGTGTATGTTGGCTTGTGTTGCCTGAGGTACACCTAGGAGACCTCTAGTGCAAGCCTCTGGCGCTCCCTGAGATTGAGCTTCTTTCCTTAGCCATCTCAACAGCCTAGTTAATTCCAAGGCATCCTTTACCCTTCAAGATAGCTTTATTCTTAGAATAATGCCCCACCTTAAACAGTTCAGTTCAGTATAAGTTCAGAAAGGGAAGACTCCTCTGCTAGGAGTGTGAGGATAATGCTAGTGCCTATTTCCACCATCTGTCTAATCATGGATGAGCAACATACTCTGTCTCTTCATCTGTACAATGGAAATGATAGCTGCTGGGTCTTCCACACAGGGATTTTTAAAGAATCAGTTAACAAAGGTGAAGGTTTCGTAAGTAGAGTTGCTATCTAAATATGAGGAAGTACAGATCAGAAAGCAGAATGTTGTGGGGTGATCCTGATATTCCAGAAAGCTTATAGCTCTTTAAAAAGCCAGGAGGATGAGAGGAGTTACATGATAGAAGAACCAGAGGCCAGGTGACAATGTGTGTGGGGACCAGTAAAGGCAAGATGAGTGTAAAAACTAGTAACCTCTAGTAGAAAGGACATTTCCAGAGGGCCTCTGATGATGTGAAACTTGAATGGAAAAAGTAGATGGAGTGCCTCTCAGAATTTAACCAGTGTTCTCAGGTCAAGTCCATGGTCACCTGCATCTCCATTATATGCCGTACTTGCTAAAAATGCCAATTTCTATGCTGCATCCATCTCTGTCAAGTGTGAAAACCTTTTATGCCCAGGTGACTTTCACATAAAGTGTGAGGACTGCTAGTTTACAGAAATAAGTAACTTTCTTCAACCTCATCTAGGAGCCACCATGATGGTAAAAGGCAATGAATGGCCTTTGGGTCAAATCTCAACTCATTTAAGCTGAATGCCCTTGGACATGAGTCAATTAACATCTGAGTCAATTTCCTTCTGCCTCATAAGATAGTTCTATGGATTAAACATACTCTGCCAGGCACTAGTCTACAAATTGCTGCCATGGTATAAAGCCAAAAAGCCAGATGTGTGTGTCCTACATGCTTCCTAAAGCAGGCAAGACCTCAGGTCCTAGAAATGGCCACTGCAGTTACTGACTGTTCTAGCCACAAGTGTGAGTTATCTGAGCAGGCCTCTGCCAGCTCACGTGACCTGGTCCTTTGCTTAGTACTTGCCACTGTCCCAGAATGTTGGTCCTTAAAGTCTGTATGAGCTGTAAAATGGCTAGCCCTTGGCATTCCAGTGAAATTCTCTGTCCTGACCAAATTAACAGCCACTGACCATGTTAACCCTAAATAACTAGTTGTGCTAATTTCAGTCCTCCACCACCTCGTTGTATGATGTTCTGCTCTGGTCTAACTGCAGGCTCAGAGGTGGCTCCAACAAGCAGCAGTAAGAATGAACATTTAGAGAGCCATCCACAGGAAACCAAATGCACTAAACTTCCAGATAGCCATAAAGTAAACAAGAGGACTTCCTGTTCTAATCTTACCATTTTCAACCATTCATTCTCATCCTCAAATGGTATGCTGAATGAATTTATTTGTACCAGACTGAGACCCCAAGACAAGATTTTTAGTTCCAACTGTTAGCAATCGGTTCTGTGATGCTTGGCTACCTTAATTCCTCATTTCTAAACCTGAAAAATGGGGGATTAGATTAAGTTGATCTCTAAAGTCCCTTTGAATTATAAGTCACCTCTCAACTTCCAGCTGAGCCTTCTGTTCATTTATGTGTGTTGCTAAGAGGGTGACCTTACCCACTGACCCTCTAAATGAAAATAGGGAGGCCACGGAGAATGTGATCCTCTCTGGGTTGATGCCAGTGACTTCGAAGCAGGGCTAGAGAAAGCCATCAGTGTGAGAGGCAGCAGAGAATCAGGGTATTTGCAGACTTGTAATTAAAGTATCAGGGGGGCTCCTGTTGGATTTTTGTTACTGTTTATGGTTGATTAGACCTGATTAGATCTACTAGTTTTTGGTCAGACCCCAAAGGCAGCTAGGAAGCAAGGACACAGAAAGGGTAGGAAAAAAGACAAAGCACAAGTGTGTGGACAGGGGAGACCTTCGCAGAAAGAGAATGAGCCTGACCACAGGAAACAGGCAAAGTGAAAGGTCAGCATGATGCTTCAAGGCCAGTCACTTTTTACACTGAGTGAGAGCAGATACCCTAGGATTCATCCAACAGCCGAAGAGCCACATAGCTCGAGGTTTCCGGAAGTGAACTCTGTCACGGCTCCTAGTGGCTGGAAAAAAAATCGGCCACTACCAAGCAAGGTGAGAGTTTGAAGATGGTTACCTGGAGAAGGGAATTATACATTCATCTAGGACAGCATCTCTCCACCTTTAAAAAAAGATATGTATTTCTTTTATGTTAACTAGAAATTTTAAAATGAAAGACCAAAAAATATTTTGCACGTTCAGAATATGCTTGTTCCAGTGACTCATGCCTCACCCTGGAAAGGCACTGACCATTCATCTGTAAGAGGTATGAGAGACAAGATTCTGACTTTGGGGCAGAGGTGATGACTTAGGCAGTCTTTTGTAGAATGAAAGACCTGGAGAAGATAAAGAAGTTTGCAGTGCCTTTAGTGATTAATTCAGGCTGGAGCTCAGGGCAAAAAAAAACGGTGGGACACCTTCATCACTGCCTTTGTGCTCACACTGGATCACTAAGCACACCTGAGTACAAACCCCTGGGGTAGTCTCTATCTTCTCTTAGAGTAGATGAAATTCTAGGGAAGGTGCCCTAAGGAAAAGGCTGCAGCCCCCACAACAGAAAATACATATTTATTATAAAATGTCTGTTTCATGAGGAGAGTAGAAAAATAACATGATGAATTACTAAGAAAGTTCTGAAGCTCAGTCTCTGAGGAATGAGACGAGAGGCTTTTGTGTCACTCTGGCAGCATGCCATCCTGAGGCGCTTGGTGCTCGTGCATGACAGGTGTGGCACAGCATGTACAGGGAGTGTGTGGCTCAGGTCCTGCTGGAAGCCCAAGGAGCCTGCATGGTCCACACAAGATGCTCTGGCCACGATGCTCAAAGAGGAGAACTTGCGGTCAGCAGGGAATTGGTTCTAGAAGGGCCAGGATGGAGACAGTCTTGCCCCTCCCTCTACTGGAGTATAGAAGAGTCTCTTAGGCTGCTGATCCTGGTTTAGAAGATGGTGCCCAATGGCCTTATGCTCGGTGTGTTGCCTAATGTCTGTGCTGAGGAAAAGCCGCAACCTTTCCCAGGACAGTTTGACCCACCATTTCTCACTGGTGTGGCTAAAAAACCCGAAGTATGTGTGGTCTCAGCCCATGAGGGCTGCTGGCTGAAATTTTTGTACTTCAAATCCTGTCCATACTGATGGCAGAAAGAAAGAAACAAAATGTTAAAAGACCAGTGAACAAGAGCAGCTGACCTAAACTGTTCTATATTCTCAGCATCCTGGCCCCAAAGAACAAGGAGAATACCTTCCCTAAGCAGGCAACTGTGCACCCCAAACAGAAAAGGCAGTCCCATAGACACCCTTTTCCTCTTTAAAACCTCTAGACCCCTCAGGCTACAGAAGATCAATGAATCCCTCCCTGGAATGGGATGGGAACCAACCCTCAGGTGACAGGAAATGTCCCTCAGTAGCAGTACCTGGAGAAAGCAGCCAGGGTGAGCACCTCAAGCAGCAACTCTGAGCCACAGAAGAAGAGCAAGATGCTGTTCATGATGGCTTCCAGGCGGAGCACATAGGTCTGCAGCAGCAGGTAATAGGAGGCCATCATGGCCGATGGCAAGGTCAAGGCCACGCTAATACCAAGTGGCATCTTTCGTTGGCAGAGGTTTCCCTTTGTACCTGTCAGACACAGCCCATGGAGTCACCTCCAGGCAGCCTGCTTTCCCTGGCCTCAGGGAAGATGGGTGGGATCTGATGTTCTAGCAAGGCAGAGAAAAGTGATCCTAAAGTGGGATGTGCAGATTTACAAATGGGCTCCCTCGGTACTAAAAACTGGAGGCTTTGGAGGAGTTACAGGATTAAAGTCATTCACCCCAAAGGTCCTGCTTTCAACTGAGTTCACACTCAAGGTACAATGGAATCTTCATTTGGGGGGAAAAATTTTAATTATAAAAATAACAAATAATCATTGAAAACTTTTCAATTAATCATTATTGAAAATAATTTTAGAAAACACAGAAACTAATAGACCCCGTGACTCACCAGCTGGTCACAGCCATTATTACAAAACATTGCATATTGCTTCAGACTTTTTTATATGTGTAGACTCACATATTATTATTATAAAAATGGAATCATACTCTAATACTGTTTTGTTTTCCCATTTAATATAAGTTAAGACATCTTTCCACATAAAACTACCTTATTCTTTTTTAATGACTATGAACAATTTCATTGAATTAATACCAAAGTTTGTTTAGTTATGTATTGATAGATTTAAGGATGTTTCTAATTTTTGATGTTACAAAACATGGCAAGAAACATTCTCATATAGACATCTGTATATCTGTGGAAGTGTTTGTTTTTTTCAACAGTTTTAGAAGTGATATTATTAGATCTAAAAATATGAATTTTATATGGTAAAACAATGAGCAAAAAAGGTTGTACTAATTTATATTCCCAGAGTAGGAATATAAATACCTACAAGAGAGTGGGACTACAGGGACCTGTTCCTTTCACCCATTCTAATACTGGGTATTTAGAAACATTTTTAATCTGATGGGTAAAAATGTTACTTTGTTTCAATTTGATTTCTATTAGTGAGTTTGGGCATAGTCACATTCTATTGGTCCTCTGAAATTCTTAAATTGAATTGCCTATTAGTGTCCCTTACCAACTTTTAGAATTAGGCTCTCTCTCCCTGAGTGATTTATGTGAGTTTTAATT